AGTGACACTTTTTCCTGTGCCCTGGAAGGTGAAGCCAAGCCCGTGCAGCTCCTTGGGACAGTCCTGTGGCCCCTGGGAGAGCTGGGGCTGCCCCTGGGAGAGCTGGGGCTGCCCCTGGGGCTGGGCTTGGAGCACGTGGGGCTCGAGTGTCCCAGGCCTGGAGGCTCTTGCAGGGCTCTGTTTATTTTCCAGGTGGGGCTGGGATGCAGATGAAGGTGCTGACCGTGCAGGGGCCGGTGCTGTTGACCTCGACTCCCCTCCTTGTCCGAGGACTGTGGAAACCCGTGACGTCGACGAGAGGAAAGTCGTCTCCCTTCGGGTCCCTCGGGAGGGAAACGACACGGTCCCACACGGGCTCCACGGGACCCGTTTGGTCGGGAGACTCGACGACACTCGGTCCCTTACCGGACCTACCCGTCACGTCCTTCAAGAACGTCCAAGGGTGCAGTCCCTTTGTGTCCCCTCAGCTGGCAGGGTGTGCCTGCAGGCTGAGTTCAGGCTGGGCTGTTCTGAGGTGCCTTCAGAGGGGTGTCCCGGGAGCTGCAGCTGCTGCCCCTGCTCGGGGTGGTGACACAGGAACCCTGGCCCTGTGCAGCCACAGCCAGGGCTCACTGCTTGGCTCCCACCGCTCCCCACAGATCCCCTTCTCCCCAGAGTCCATGGCACAACTCGCAGCTCATTCTTGTGTGAATTCCTGACTTTGACTCAGCAAAATGCTTTGCCCACTTCCCATGGCTGCAGCCCCCGCGTGTTCGTGCCACGCTCCCACACTGTGCAAAGGGACAATTCAGTGCCCCGAGGCACCCGAAGCTACCACATGTTTTCCTAAAGCGAGTTCTTTTTTAGCTTTTTAGGGTGGGGGGTTTTTTCCCCCCCAACTGAAAAGCTGAGAAAGAGCTTCAGCATTTTTTTACATTGAGAAACTCGAGGGGGAAAAAAGCCTCCTGTGTGATGCCAAAGTTAAACTCTAATCACCGCTCAGCTCTCCTGGAATTTGGCAGCAGACCAGCGCTCCTTCCCTTCGGTAGGTCATGTGGAAATACCGGAGCAGTTCTTAAAGAACCTCCCAGCTCTTTTCAGGTACTTGCACAGATGGAACTTTCCTGTTAGAATTCTAATGCCTTTTACATTCTTAACTACATCGAAACACCATTCCTAATAAGCACCATTCAGATCTACAAAATTTTATGTACAAGCATTAAAATACTTTTAAGTGTGTTAAAACTACATAAATGCAGCTTTAAAAATCTGGTTTTGAGGTGATATTCCTGTTCAACTGGAATAGAGTCAGACAGTTTGATCTTGGAAATAACACTTCATGAAATGAACCCACGAGTAGTTCAGAAGTTTATGAGAGGCTGTTTACTAAAGGCTGTAGGAATAGCTGAGATGAAAGCTGAGAGTTCAGAGCTGCTTTGTTCAGTTTGATCAGGGAGAATATTTATGATTCTCTTTCCACTGCTTTTTACACCTGAATCACCACTTGATTTTAATTTCTGACCACTTTGCCGAAGATTCTTTTATTTCTGTCAGAGCTGGC